GCACATCCGGACGGAGAATGCGCAATGGCTGTCGCAGCAGGCGAGGAAGGGTTGGCGCAGGTGCTGGCGAATGGCTCTAGCATGTCCATTGATGCTGTGCGAGCGGCTGGAATTCACCCCAACCAGCCGCTCTTCCAGCAGGTGTATGTCAACAAAGACATAAAAAAGTCGGAGGAGACAGTCCGACGAGCTGTGAAAGCAGGTGCTAGTGGTATTTGGATCACAGTCGACTCCCCTGTTGTTGGGAAGCGGGAGATGGATGAGAGATTGAATCTTGAGGTTCAGGTAATCACGTAATATGACACGCTCGAGAGCGAATCTGACTTCTACAGGCGCGCGACTCTTCTGCCAAAGGACAGGGCGTCGCAAAGACCATGGCCAGTTCTATCTCACCATATATTGACTGGGAGATTCTCAAATGGATCCGCAGACTTACCGATCTGCCGGTTGTGATTAAAGGTATCCAGTGTGTGGAAGATGCAGTTTTGGCATATCAACATGGGGTACAGGGAATAGTCCTGTCCAATCATGGTGGAAGGTCTCAAGATACGTATGTCGATTCCTAGCCCCAAAATGTTGTATTCTAGAGGCTCACACTTGCCAGCGCTCAACCTCCACTTGTCACTTTACTTGAGATCCGACGATATGCACCACACCTTATCGAAAGTAACATGCAAATCTTTATCGATGGAGGTATTCGACGTGGAACGGATGTTTTGAAAGCCCTTGCATTAGGAGCAACCGCCGTTGGGCTTGGACGACCATTCCTGTTCAGTCTGGCAGCAGGCTATGGAGCCGACGGAACCCGTCGTGCCATTCAAATTTTGCGGCAGGAAATCGAGATGAACATGGTATTTTTGGGAGTGACGAAGCTGTCGGAATTAGGGCCACATCTGGTGAATTCAATGAGGCTAGAGCGAGATGTCGTTGGCTCTGTGAAACTGTGAAAAGAGGTTGTGTAGAATACTGGATATTTCTCCAATTCACATTGTATGGTTTACATCCAGGCACAGCCTTAACGGGAACACAGACCAGTTCGCACTAAATGGCGTTAAGAGGGGCATGGGCTGACCAGTGCATGTTAGTGCGTAAGCACTATTCCCCATGGAATTGGCACGGGCTTATCGAAGCCATTCGGATAGCGGGAACACCACGGAATTAATCTGGCTGGTGGATGTCACAAACAATGCTTGTGCTTAGTTCCCCTCCCTACTAATTTTCACTCGGTACCTAGTTATTGCACTACTTTAACCCCCTCATCTGTCCTCTTCCAACATTCTTCTTACGCCCTCCAAAATTATCTATTCATTCACTTTCTTTTTAACACACTTCCAATATCCCAAATCAACCAAATGGCTTCCTCCGCAGAACCTCAGACAGCTCCCTTCGGCACATGGGACAGTCCTATCACAGCCGCAACCCTGACGTCAAAAGGAATCAGTTTCGCCGGCATCGCCGCCACGGTTCGTCCCTTTTCCCTCTACATTCTACTACGTCCGAATTAAATTGACCTCTCTCATCAGGCGGATGGTATCATCTACGTGAACGAAGGCCGCCCTGCCGAAGAAGGTCGCAATTGTATCGTCGAATGGCGCAACAACCAGCCCCGTGACGTTCTACCAGCTGCGTACAGTGCACGCACCGCCGTCCACGGCTACGGCGGCGCGGCCTTCAACACCACGTCAGATGGGAAGGTTATTTTCGCAGACTGGAAGACTCACGGGGTGTATATTTTGGATCCTGCAACCTGCGATGTAACAGCGGCTGTGGAGCCAGACGAAAAGCTCTGGTTTGCTGCGTTCAATTCGCACCCCAAGAGACCGGAGTTGGTTTTTGCCATTAGAGAGGATCATCACGGCAAGGAGGTTGTCAACGAGCTTGTTGTTATTGATACCGAGAATAAGAAGGTGGAGGTTGCGGCGACGGGAGCGGACTTCTACTCGCATCCCACGTTCAGTCCTACTGGTGATAGAGTGTCCTGGATCCAGTGGAACCATCCCGAGATGCCGTGGACAGGGACTGAGTTGTATTCTGCGCCTTGGAAGGATGAGAAGGTTGGAACCCCTGTGAAACTGGCAGGAAATGGAGATGAAGAAAGTATTTTGCAGCCGAGATGGGGACCGGATGGAACTTTGTTCTTTGTGTCGGATCGCACTGGATACTGGCAGTTTTACCGCTGGAGCCCGGATGGAAGTGATGCGCCCGGCGCTATCGTTATTGAAGGCCTGGAGAAGGGCGAGTTCGCTCATCCAGAATGGCTCCTGGGATCGTATGACTCTCTTACCCTTTTGCTCACATAGCACACATCTAACACGATACAGTTGCACATATGTTCTTCCAAACGCCAACACAATTGTCGCGGCCTGGACGCAAAACGCAACAGAGCGCCTCGTCATCATCGATCTCGAGAAGAACACCTACACCGTCCCGGCCAATATCGCATCTCTCACGGGCATCCAACACAGCGCTGTTGCTCTGACATCTCCCACCAGTATTGCCGTCATTGCCAGCACTCCGACTGCCCCAAGCACTGTCTACCACATCTCTCTCACCTCCAGCGATGCCTCCGAACCAACAGTCTTACGCTCCTCCTCGTCTGTCACCATCTCCGACACCTACTTCTCTCGCGCCCAACACATCTCATTCCCGCGCACTATCTCCACCCATCCTGACACTCTCTCACATGCCTTTTTCCTCCCTCCCACGAACCCCAAGTACAGCAGTGCTCCAGGCGAGCTTCCTCCACTCATCATCACCATCCACGGCGGACCCACCATCCACACCGACCCCGGACTTAGCATGATGTGGCAGTACTACACCACACGCGGATACGCCGTTGCCCTGCTCAACTACGCCGGCTCCTCCGGCTACGGACGCGCCTACCGCAAGCTCCTAAACGGAAGTTGGGGTGTGCTCGACGTGCACGACGCCGCAGACTGCGCCCGCTACTTGATCTCCGAAGGCAAGGTGCACCCGTCCCGCATTGGCATCACTGGCGTGAGTTCTGGTGGATACGCCACCCTCCAAGGAATCTGCATGTTCCCGACTCTATTTACCGCTGCGGTCAGCGTCTCTGGAATTAGTGACGTCGAAGCCCTCGTGGCCGAAACACACAAGTTCGAGAGCCACTATGCCTTCCGGCTCTTGTTTGATGACAAGGTGCCCGAAACAGAAGAAGAGAAGCGGAAGGTGTACCGCGAGCGGAGTCCCAGGTTCCATGCGGATATAATTAAGGCCAAGCTGTTGCTGTTGCAGGGTACAGCGGATGAGATTGTGCCGTTGAACCAGGCGCAGGCAATGGCTGATGATGTTCAGCGTAGCGGTGGGGTGGCCAAGTTGGTTATCTTCGAGGGTGAGGGACATGGGTACCCTCGCAAGGCGGAGAATGGCTTGCAGGCCAAGAAGGTGGAAGAGAGCTGGTGGAAGGAGAATTTGGCTGAGGTCAAGGGGGAGTGAGTGCGATACTAGGATATGGCTCATTGCAGGTAGATGCCCAGTAGAAGAGATGTAATCTAGGCGCATCTAGTTCTAGACTATAGAAAGTACCACGATCTCGCTCATCAATAGCCGGCAACTCATGACTACATAGGAGCATACCAGTAAAATCACCCAATGGTTATTGAAACACATCTGGAAATCGGGCAGTACCTACTAGTACCTCGCCCGCCAACCCCATGGAAGAATGCAATGGTTAATATTTATTATACATAGTGGTTCAGATCCACAGATCGATATCAATTAGAATAAATCACCTATTCCTCCATGATTACTCCCACCCCGCCCCCCAAGGAATAACCAGACAAACCCCATTTTGAATAAATTTGTCTAACATCGATCCCTCACACACCTTATGACGAGAAAGAGCGCACGAGAAGGAGAAGACACGATAACCCTCACTACCAATCTCAACACCCCCCCCCCCAAAAAAACACAAAAAATGCTCGCACTCGGATTCGAACCGAGGATCTCATGATTGCCTACTAGTCATGCGCTTTACCAACTAAGCCATGCGAGCAGTTGATGCTGCTGAGGCAGGATATTATGCTATAGGAAGCTACGCTATCGTGAATAGGCGAAAACCTGGGAACGCCGAAGAAATAACATGTGCTGGGTAGGCATACTCGGCAGTGAAGAAGCCACACTACCGCCCATATTGAAAACGCTACAGATGACAAAGGAGAGATATAATAGATATCAATATCTATAGATTAGGTAGATTGTGAGATGCTGAGCTGAGCCGATTAGCCGATCTGCAGACACTCGGGCTACGTATGCATGTCTGCACTGCAGCCAAGAGACCGAGATGGATTCGGCTTAATTAAGAACGGCGAGGGTGTGGTTCTCGGGAAAGGCCCAGATTGCATCAGCACTTGATATGGATCTCGGGATTCAACGTAGTAGGGGGTATTATTGCGCTTGAGGTCGCCGATGTGTTTAGTCGGTGTACACTGTACAGGGGGGTTTATCGATCACGATCACCGGATCGGGATCTGTGGATGTTGAATGCGTCGGGAGCGGTGGTGGTGGCTGTGATGGTTCATTCCGAGGGCTGTTTGTGAAGATAGGGGTGACTGGTGTGGATTTATTTCTGTACTCTGGGATTGAGTTTGTTTGGGGCAGGTGATAGGCATAGCTTGATTAGATTCTGGAGGGATGGAATGTGTCTTCGGCTTTAGAGTGGGTAGGTTAAGAAGTATAGGAACAACCACTGGACATCAAGGTAAGATCCAAATATCTCTCAAATCACAATCAGTAAGATCATCTGAATAGTGCGGTATGTAAGTTTGATGTCGACCCCAATATCCACTAGAGAAAGGGTAGATACTAGACAGTGCACAACCAATGTCAAGCACCATGTCCATCCCATCACTTCTCCCCAGATTGAAATAAATATAGCAAAGGCAAAATTCTCCGAACAATTAACAAATCAATCAACCCCAAATAATATTCAATTCCAAATAAATCCTCACCACAAAATCAATGTACACCCACTCATTGCCTCATCCCATCGATCTACTCGACCACTGATGGACTGAACCATGGTTCTGTGAAGATAGTCAGCGACCGGGTCGGGGACCAAGCCAGCTAAAATCTGCACTAACCAACGAATCCCCGGCATTTCCATCCTTCCATTCCCCTTCGATCGTCTTGTTCCCCTGCACATCCTCTCCCCGACCGTCCGAAGGAACCGCTGGTCCACGAGGGTGATATCTGCAGCTAGGATTAGAATTTAATATACCATCCCTGCATTAATGATGACCTGATATAGACAATGAATGTATATGTTTATATAGCCATGTGTTGCAATCCGCAACACCAAAGCATTTCAGAAATTCTCAATGAGAGGATGAAAAAGTGAATGGTTGAGACTCACTCACTCGGGGACTCCCGCCCAAATCGGCCCTTCAGGTTTCTGGTTCTGGTTTCGGGGACCAGTTCGGTCACAGTATGTGATTGGAATGTGTGGTCCCCGAACTGCCACTCACTCGCTCGGCCTCTTTGTTCACTTCAAAATCGGTGAAGGAAGTCGCCGTTACAATTGCCTTGTCCCGTACATTTCGCATTGTGATGTTGCTGGACTGGGATCCTTTCTAATGGCTCGATTTTCGCCTTTGTCTTGTTTATTGCTTGTATGATGAAGGTATTTTTCATCTTCGATCACCTACTCCTACTATTCTCTGTATAGCCACAATATGTTCACGCCAGTGCATACCACGTTCGGGGCGTTGATGCTCTTCCAGGGCTCTACGGGATTGCTGTTGCACAATGGGGCGGTTTTTGGCATATCCTCGCTCCTGTCGGGAGCTCTTTTGAATCCGACGAGGGATAATGTGGCTCTCATTGCTGGTCTGGCGTCGAGTGTTGTCCCCGTCGCTCTCTTCTTGCCGTCCGCCATTCCATCATATCCCACTGCACCAAGTTCTTGGGGGTCGTGGCTCTTGACCGTGGGCCATGGGTTTTTGCTGGGATGGGGTACAAAGGTAAATGAAGCTGAGTTCCCTTTCGAGAAAAGACAGCTGTAGGTGCTGATGGTATTATGGGATAGAATGGTCGAGGTTGCACGTCCGGCCACATGCTCTGTGGTATTTCTCGATTGTCGCCACGCTCATTCATTGCTACCGCTGTCTTTTTCACCACCGCCCTACTCACAGCCAATTTCTTCGCTGGCGGCTCCAACATCCCTCCGTGTGCCGGTGGAACACCCTGCTACATGCCCGTCTATCCATCGACTGCGGAGCTCGCCGTCATGCTCACCACCACATTGGTTACATTCGTAATGAACTTTGTCGTCGTTCCCCGTACCCTCGAGAGATCCGAACGCTCAAGGACTATATTTTCGTATCTGGCGGGTCTGGAATTTGGCGTAGGCCTGCTGTTCTCTGGAATGGCTGACCCAGCCAAGGTCCTGCGGTTCTTTGCCTTCCTGTCTGACCCATCGCGATTCGATCCATCACTGGCACTCATAATCCTCTTCGGAATCGGCCCGTCACTGATAACCTTCTTGTCGACCAAACCAGGGAAACAGACCGATAACAAGGCGGAACGGTCCACACCCACTCTGGCGGGACAATGGAGACTTCCCACTGCGACTGTAGCAGATATTGACTGGAGATTTGTGGCAGGCGGGGTCGCTTTCGGCCTCGCTTGGGGACTACGTGGAGTATGCCCAGGTCCAGCCATCCTGCGCAGTGTGCTCCAGCCGGTTTGGGGGCTTGCAGAGATGACTGGTTTTATGCTAGGGAATTTGATGTGATTTGCTTTCTCGTTGCTGCGAAAGAGTGGTGGTGCTGTACCAAAAGCCGTTCTGGAAGGGCCATGCGCGGCGGGATGGCCGAGTGTTTCCATTCATGAGCTATGCAAGCAATCAGGCATCAGCACAGCTCATAAATATATCGCGCAAAAAATGTACATAGAGCATCGAGGGCCGCAATGGCCAGTAGAAATGTAAATATATTCAGACAATGCTTACAGTTCAGTCTTGACATCGTAGCCAGTGCGCTTGTTCTTTCCTTGGGCACCTTCTCGAGATTCCTGCTCAGATCCCGGCATGAAGCCCTCCAGCTCCATCCACTCTGCCGCAAATGCGGTAACCAACAAGCTCCAGTCCTCTACTGTCGCCAGGTCCAAATGTTCGCCATCGTCTTCAATGCGATGCCAGACTGGCGGGAACCCATGGGGACCCGCATCGATTACATGGAGGATCTCTACTCCGCGTCTCATGAAGGGGATATGGTCATCCTGGATACCGGAATAGTAAGGAATCTCGTGCTCGCTTTTGGAGGCATGGGTGAACCACAGCCGCTGCCGATCGGGATCATTGCCGGCGGACTTGAACTGGTTGAGCCGTCGCAGACGGCGCTCAAGTGCAGCTAATTTCTTGTAGGCCCAGTGTGTAGTAGGGAAGAATGACTGGATGGTTGGATCTTTCGAACCTAGCAGATCCAGGAGGACAAAGAGGGATATCGAAGCGAGAGGAGTCTTATAGATGGACATGGCTGGGTGGACATCTGAATCCCATTGTTCGGCGAGCGAGCGAGCACCGTAGAGGGAATCGGTGTCGGTCCAATACTTGAAGGCCTCCTCACCGTCCAAGAAAAGCACTTGAATGCCCGTCTGCTCATCCAACGGGTTTGTTTCGCCCTGTGCCTGCATGGCCTCCCACTTCTTTGTCAGGGCTGCATCGATGCTCCTCATAGCATGCATAATCATGGCACAAGGCGCTGCACTGTCAATGGCTCCAATGAATCCTTCCGGTTCGTATTTGCTGTCGTAATGGGCGACCAAAGTAAGTCGCCCAACGTCGCCGGGGGCCGCCCACGGGGGGTCACGGGATGCGATCAAGTTCACAAACGGCACATCTTTTCCATTCGACACAGGTGTCTTTGATGTCGAGTTCTGAAAGTCAATTTTCCAGTCAGGGAGCGAGTTCCGGAAGAAGTCGACGAAGTGATTCAGCACGGCTGTCGATCCGGAGGTCCCAGACACACGAGGCCTCAGGATCGGGGACAAGATGGCGCCAGTATGAATATCAAAATCATCGTTCGGGCGGGGAAGGGATTCTAGTGTCTGATCCGAGACGGCCTGGTATGCGTTGCCTGGAGCGATTAGGAAGAGGACGGTGATGTAGATGGAGAGCAAGGGGGCCAGAAGGCCACGATAAGCTGAATACATCGGAATAGCGGAGCGACTGGGGTCAGCGCCTCTTCATCGCAAAGGATATGGATAGCGTCTAAACAGCCTCCAATGCAGGAGGATGGTGACGATGCCGACGAGTAAAGCCAGGGGGTGGTTTGTTGAGGAAGCGATGGTGATTGGGGAAGGTTCAAGTCTATTCCAATCTATTGTCGGGCCCGTCAATCGAACCTCCGACCGCCAAGCCGGATCACGTTGCGGAGCTTCTCCAATTTCCCAGAAAAAAGTCACCCGGCCATCCTTTCGCACTGAAGTCAGTCTTCACATCGTGTCCGTTCGACTCTTCTTACCTGCCCACTGGCGCGAATATACAGCTGGAAGCTCATCGCGAACCCATAAGGACACCCCGCCAAACCACCCAATGCGTCCTGTCATCCTGCTGAGCGCGCAATTGCGCTCCGCACTTCCCCGGAGCGTGCGGAGAGACCTCAACAGCAAGCTATTTGCTCGATTTAAGACAACCCAGAACCCTATTCCTCCGCCGAAGCCTAGTGCTCCTTTTATCAAGCGAAAGGAGCCTGTTGCTCCTCGGAACCCACAGGCCTCGCCTACCAAACATGCTAAATTGACGTTTCGCAAAGGTATAGCTCCCCCGCTAAGTTGCCAGGATAAGGAGACAATCGTGCTGATTCGATATTTGTAGGGCCACCGGAGAAGGTCGTGGTGTATTATAGCGGAAAAGGGAGGACAGCTGTGGTAGGAACATTGAAGCTCGTTTCTCTCTTAATATTTGGAGTTTCCAGTTTCCTTCTTGCTCCAGCATTCGCATCATCGGATGAGCATCCATGGTACCTCGCCCCTGCAAGTAAGTATGCACGGTCGCCTGTCCGATATACTCCTGCTGACCCTTGGATAGTTGCAATTGGCGGTACTCTTCCGATGATCTTCATCCTCTATACCACGGCCCCGTTTGTCGTCTATGTGCACGTTGCCATTCCCGCCTTTGCCCGCCGCTCTCGCGAGACAATGATTGAATATGTGAAGAACCTGCCGCCCACGGCCACCTTGTACATGACTACCATTCGTTCAAGTTCGTTGCCTCAGCAGACAGAGGTCAGACTGGGTGACTTGGTTCTCAACAAGTCTTTTCTCCGGCCTGTGACCTTTACCAATTCAAAGCCCGCGCCCTCTCCTTGGTGGGCAGGCAAAACCCCTCAACACTTTTACACGGATGTGAGGGCCCAGCGCTCGACCGAGTCTCCAAACTACTTTCCTACCTTGTGGGATGACGTGTTCAAGAAAATCCAGAACAATGGCTTGAAGAAACAGAACTGAGAGATTCACTGAACATGTTCGATACCAACCAGCGGAGTAGGAACTTTGACGGTACACGATCGCTGTCAATGGCCCAAGTCTGTGTTTTCGCTGTTTGCTTCGGTAGCCAGCAAAGCGGGTTGCCTTCAGCTCATTCACAGCTCTGTAACTCAGGTCTATCTCTGCTCTTGCACAATTTGATTCGGTGGCAACACAGTTCTTTCCTTGCCAAGGACTTTACCTGTTCATCATCTACACGCAGCCAACTCTCAACTCTGATCTCACTATTTCCCTTACTTCTTCTTTACCATTCCTAACTTCACCCTAAGTCGCTCCTACCATCACATTCAATCCTCCACTACTTCCCGCACATCATCATGTCTGCACTAAAGCTCAACCAACCCGATACTCTTCTGGGGCTGAGTATGGCCGAAGCGCGGATGATCATTCTTGGTGTGCTGAGTTCCGATAAATCTGGCAAAGTATGTACCCTGATCTTCTAGCTATGGAGAAACTTCTGACAACTACTGCAGGTTGACTTTGACAAGATGGCCGTCAAGGGAGGCTACAAGAACGCTCAATCTGCCAGTACTCTCTATCACAAGGCCAAGCGTAGGCTTTTCGATATCCATAATAACCCGGCCGATCAAGAAGCTGGTACCTCTATCAGTCCTGCAAAGGAATCCGCTTCCACCACTGCTACTCCCAAGAAAACGCCCGCAAAGCGTGGCAAAGACAAGGCTGTCGCCGATGATGACAACACTGGTGCTATCGAGACTACTCCAACTCCTTCCAAGGGGAAGCGTCAGAAGACGGCAGCGACCCCGAAGACCCCGAAGACCCCTCGCTCTGTGCCGAAGGCTGTGAAGACAGAGGCTCCGTAGGTAATTTTAATCCCTTGCGCCTGTTCATGTTGCTGATTGTATTACTCCTTAATAGAAAATCTGGAGGTGCCACTACTCCCACTCCGGCCGAAGGCAAAGTCGCCGTGAAGAAGGAAGAAGACGATATGGAGCTCGAAAACAGTACCATCAAGGAGGAGTCGAAGTCTTCTGATGACGAGGAACTTATGAGTACCAGCCAGATGAGTGCAGAGTTTTCTGGCATGGGACAGCGCCCAGATACTCCCAGGTAAATGGGTCTGACTTGGAGAGTCTGATAGCGTGGTCTTGTCCTTCTCTTCACACCGAGTGCTCTGTGGAAAAATTGCACAGCAGTTTATTATCAGTTTCTTATGGGGAAATCGTGACATGGATGGAAAGAAAGGAAGTAATAAACGTTTTCCCTTGGTCTGATATGGTTGGCGCGATGGGTTGTCTATTACTCCTAGTGGTTACGGCGCTTTGCAGTTCTACTGTTTTCCCTGAACTTTGGATGGAGCTGTATTCCACGTCTCAGAATGACTTCATATATAAAGCACGCTAGATCGTAGTCCTTGTAGTCTTTCCAAACATATTTTCACTAAAACATCCGCATTTATTGGACAATACTTTCGGCTTTCAAGTCTTATTTAACTTTGTGTTCCTGAGTAAGGGAGAAGAAACCATGCAAGAGTTATTGCTCATCCCCCTTCTGCATTCCAGTAGAACTGCATACAGTAAAGGGACGACGAGGTCATAGGACTATTGTGGAGAAAATATGTCAGATCAGTTCACAATCAATGTCGTGAAGAATGCTGGGCCAAAGTCAATTGGGTATAAATATCCCCTCTCTTTTTCATACCCCAGCTCCTTCTCATCTTCAGGGTCAAGATTTCAAGTTGATTAAGAAAAAAAAAGAGCCTTCAAACTCCCAAAACCCGTCCCTTTACATAAATCGGTCCATTCACAAGCTATACCTACGACCTTCACAGAAAATGAAATCCACCCTTGCAATCGCTACTACCCTCCTGGCTACCCTCGCCAGTCAAGCGGCAGCCAGCTTCCGAATCGGCTACCAAGGAAGTGACAATCACGCCCTCCCAGAAATAGACGAAAGGGGCGACTTGCAAACTATTGTCTTCCTCAACTTTTATGGAGACCCCGACCTTGAACTCTGGGAGTACGAGACCCCCGAGGATTCAGATGGCAAAGTCTTGATCCGTAACGAGCAGGAAGGAACATACATCCTCTGCAGTGCGTATTGGAGCGAGTGTTACGCTGCAGAACAGGGGACTTTATTCCATCAACCAACTCAGCTCGCGGAGATCGGTGGTAGAACCTACTACCAAATTCTAGCAGACGGCAGCGATGTTGACTCCCCAGAACAGCAAACATTCGCTCTTCAGGGCGGTAATACCTTGACACTCGCTTCCCCAGACATTAGTAATAGCCAGCAATTTCTTTCGATTGAGGAGGTGGATGAATAGATAGACTAGGTTGGGGGAGGTTAGATGTGTGGCATTCACCTTATGTCTCGATTTGTTCCATCGGTTCAACTGTCTATGTACAAGTGAATGAATGAATGCCTGGGGATGGTTGGTAGCAGAGTAATGGGGATAACTTCCACTTTTGTTTTCGTCCTTATTGTGTTATATTCCAGGCCCCACTAGTCTACCTCTTCCGGTCCATACTTATAGTTTGTCGGAAGAGAAAAAAAGAAAAAAAAAACAGCACCTTCCTCTTAGAGTTGTACTGATGTTCCTTGTGCCATCTCAAACGCTTCTAATTGCACCCTAGTTTATATGAAGAGTAAACTTAAAATCTGCATATCCGAACAATCTGGAAAAGCGGTATGATACGACTTATACACAACCGTCATTGCTCACCACTTAATTCTCATCATGCTATCTCACCATCTCAGGGCGATATTATTACACTTTTTACTACACCTGAAATAATCCCGCCTGGCCATCTAGTTTCGATATCCCCTCAGAAGCTCATGACTAAAGACCTAGCAATGGGATTTTGAGGCCTTGTCACTGCCTGGCGAGCTGTCGGGCGTCTACCTGTACGAAGCAGACTCTAAGACGCCTCATTGACTGGGGAAGTATATGGGGCATTATATACCCGCCTCCGCGCCGGGAAGAGAAAGGAAGCATGGCCGACAGCAGATCTTCTATGGTGGCACGGCGTTGAACACTGGGCGGTGGGTTCGAGAAGGAGGATGGGCGGCTGTGTCAGGAATGCTTGATTGTCATTCCCTTATGGGAGTGGACCAGATATCATATACATACTAGAATTAGATTGGAGGTCTAGAAGATCGAAAGTTATCGCAGCCATCGCACTAACATAATGTATAGAACCAACTGACACGACTATTTCCCCCATGTCAAACCCCCAGCCAACAACCGGGTAGATCCACGAACTCACACGAGGAACCAAAAAAAGAATAAAAAATAGAAATAAAAATACACAGCCCTTGAAACTCCAACTAAACCCACTGCATTGAAATCTCCTGCAATTCATTTTGGTTGTCCAACACACCAACGCGGAGATAATCTCCGCCTTCGAGGACCCACATGTTTCCCCCATCAATATCTTCAATAGTAGCGAAAAGATGATAGTAGGTTACTCCGTCAATCTTATTTGTCTGGATTGATTGAAAGAAGGTTCCTTCGTCCTCGGTAAGACTGCAGCTAGTCGACTGCCCGCTGCAGCTAATATAAGATCCCAAGAAAACATTGCGAATCAAGAATCCTTGATTGGTGTTAGTGGATTCCCACTGATCCAGGGTGGGGAGGCCGTATATGTTGCTGCTGCTGCTGCTGAAGGCTATGGTATCGTTGGCGTTCTCCGCCTCGAATTTCGGGAGGGCGTACTCGGTTCCACCGCGATAGCCGATGCGGAAGTTGGGTGCGGCTTGGCTGGTAAAAGCGAGGAGGAGGGTGGTGGTGGCGGAGAGGATGTGTTTCATTTTGATTGTATGGATGGGCGTAGACTCCAGCGACGCGGTAAGCTTTAAGGTTATGGTTGCTCTAACCTTGTGCCTGAGCTTAAGTAGTGGATGATTGATAGGTGCGAAGGAAGGAAGGAGTAGAGATGATGGGATATATACTCAATAGGGTTGGAGCAACATTATTGTAACATTTTGAGGCGAGCTGAAATAAAACACCCATTCGTGTCTTAGAATCATTGACTCTTCACTTGGTATGTAGTATCTCGTACCTACTATCTACTATCTACTAGTAGTGTTCTGGCATGCAGATTGCATGCCTTGAGCCTTATTAAGCAAGACAAGCCCTAGGAGATAAAGTTTGGGTTCGGGTAATTCTCCGCGGAATGCAACAGGGGCAAAGTTTGGAAATGCTACGGTTCGACGGGCTACAGCTACAAATTCAGTTACCCGAGCTGGGATGCGAGGGACTGTGAGACAATTATGTGAGTGGAACAAAGTGGAGTCAACGGAGCTCACGGATGGTGTTCCTTGTGGAATATCTTCTGAACGTCATACCGTCACAGAAGTTGTCCCTTCGATCCCCTTTCGGTATAATCGTCATGGACTTAGAGATTCCGAGGTAGATATGTTCTCAGAGCTATCCTGACTCGTATTTTATGCAAAATGCTACACTGAATGTAGGTAGGCTGATGGATGATTGCATCCTGAGGCGGTTATATGGGAAACGAGTAGGTAATGAATACGACCTAGGTTACGTTTCGCAAACTGCCACCATGACCACCACAATGATTGTTTCTACTTTCAGTGATATGATAGAAAGTAACAGGATGATCAACAGGAGAAGTGAGACAGAACTCAGTATTCATTTGAATTTTCTTCTTCCATCTCCCACAGAAAAGGATCGTTTCTTGTGATTACCTAGCTATTTTCTCCTCATCAAGTCTATAGCTAGCCTAGCATATGTTCAGTGCTTACTCGATTGCTATGGCTTCTATACAGGAATCTCACTTCTCTCAAAATGTAAGCTTAATTCAGCCTGGTCTTGGCATGTAGAATACCACGTGGCTTATCATATAAAGACCCCAGGCCTAATAAATCATTTGATTATGCTTCTTATCCCTGTTCGTGGCGTGGCATGACCTCTTTTTGGCACTTGTTGGACATATCATCTGTTTAGGATGCGAGAGTTTTTCTATTTTGGGAGTGAAGAGGCCTGGCACATATCTAATAGTAGATGAATTTGGTCCCTTGGATTATTGGTATGATATTTTCAAATATCACGCCACTGGACCTCAAGTATTGCTGTACATTGTTGATAGTTTATCGAGTACTTAGTCGATATATAAATCTTAACTGGTATAGATAAAGTGACGTCTACTAAGAACGGTTCTATAGTGTTTATGAAGATATACTATTAAATCTGTATCAACAGGACTCCTTATCCTGGTTCACCCCTGATACTCCTTGTTCAGTCCCCACTCAACAGCAGCAATCTGCAAAGCAAGGACGGGAGAGAACTGGCGCGACCAGGAAAAGCTGCCCGTCATGTACCAGAACCCTGGCATTCCAGTCGGTCTCCAAACCTATAAGCAGAAATTGTTAGTCATCTGGCGATTGGAAGAAGATGCGGGATAGTAGCGAACTTACACCGAACCGTTCCTGACTCCTATCCAAGCTACAGATCACGCCCGGCACCTTGTCCAGAATCTCCCTAGGCACGATGCGCTCGATCAACTTGTCCGTGCGTTCGAAACCCGTCGCAAGGATAACAACATCAGACTCGATCTGGGTACCATCGGCGAGGGTAATTCCTTCAGAGTAGTATTCCCGGACGCCTTCCTGACATCTCTGCACCTTGATCCGACCATCGAGAATCATCCCGCATGCGCCCTGATCAATATAGAAATGACCCGCCTTAATCAGCTGATGGTCAACGAGACTGTCGCCCTGGTCCCCTCTCTTGACCGCTAATCCGGCCTTTTCCAGCCCGTCCAACATGTCCTTATCCAACATGGACATCATCTGCGACGCACCAACACTGAGAGTCCGAACAACGGCCGTGGGGAACGAGTTACCCAGAAGGTCCGCATCGTCAGTGCTCAAGCCCGGCGTATCCCACAGCTTCACTTGGAGCTCCTCCACGGACTTGAGAGAGGCCACGAAGAGAGGACTGCGCTGCACTATCGTGACCGATTTTGCTCCGTGACTGGCAAAGTCCTGGGCGACGTCGTGTGCGCTTGTTCCGGCACCGATGATGGTAATCTTCTTGTTCTGTACGTCGGGCATCAAGCTCGCGGATTGGTGCGCGGATGTGTGAAAGATTTGGCCATTGAATGTGTCCTCACCGGGGAAGGAGGGCTTGATCGGGATATCGCTGAGAAGGCCCGTCGCGAGAACGAGGTGCTTGGTGGTGACGCTCTGTACGCCTCCCTCGTTGGATTGGAGGTCGACCGAGTATCGCTTGGTCGACGGATTGTACTGAATGTTGGTTGCTAGCGTGCCATGCTTGACGTTAAGACCCAGAAGATCTCCGTAGTGCTCCATCCATTTGACAATGTGCTCCTGGTCGAGGTAGCGCGGCCAAGTGGCGGGGTATTTCAAGAACGGAAAGTGGTCCATGTAGCTCGGGGTGTGTGATTTGATTGACGTGTACCTCGCACGCCATGAGTCTCCGGGGCGGGCTGTTTTATCGACGACCAAATACTTGAGGCCGAAGTTTTGTAGGTGAGCGGCCAGAGCAAGGCCCGATTGACCTGCTCCCACGACCAAGACTTGCAGGTCACTGTCCTCGTTGGTCGATTGAGGTTCAGATCCACTAGACTGTACCTCGGCCGCCTTCGCCCTCTCTGCCTCCAGCTCGTCTTGTCCATTCAGACGCTCAAGCACAGTAAATACCGTCCACGCCTTCCACTCGTCCGGCCCCACGTTCGCTAGGCGAAGAACACCCCTACCCTTGCCAGCCTTGGTTGTGAACCCAAACCCAGCCTGGATGAAGCGCATACCACCTAGGTCAGCCAGGTGCGGTTGCAATGCGCCAGGCTGATCAAGCTTCGGGTCTGAAAATCCACTGGTGGAGCTGGCGAGGTAGCTGGAGATGGCCTGGGAGCCATTATGACATGCAATGTCCCATGAGAAGGAAACGAAATCGCGCCACCAAGATTCCTTCTCCAGGAAGTGGGCTTGGATAGCATCTGGCTGACCCGTAGAGAGGCTCTTTGAGAAAGAGGCGAGCCAATCGTCGGTGATCTTGGCTGCATTAAGCTGTTCTGCGTCAATGGAGGGGTGCAGGCTAAGGTTGGGAAGAGCCGCTAGCGGCGGAAATTCATCGGAGATTGATCCCATGATAAATGGCAGTTATTGAGAGGGTTATAAGAGAATTGAACGAGGAAATTTTTGTGTTGCTGGAAACCACGTTGGTGGATAGCCCTTATATAACTAAAAGCTGACAGCTGCGTGCCGGATGAACCCGACAAAGTGCTTAGGCCGACAGGTGTTTAGCAACTGTCCGTTGGAATACAAGGCTGCTGTAGTGGAGCTGAAGCAGCCACTGCGCCTGGTTGCGATCGGGATCCTCATCCCAGCCTCAACATCCTTTGTTCGTATCCGAGCTAAATTAGTTGTATCATACTACTCCACCTGTTTTGTATGGTCAAGCATTTACATCGAATGCTGAGATGGACCCTATTCGTTGAAAAAATCGCGTCCCACGTTCAACAAGTACATACTGTGGTTTTATCCATGTCAAGCTTATTAGTGGTGTGTGGCCTACGCTGTCTGGACTGATATTCTAGACTTTTACCAGTTTTCTTGATTCTGGCGGTAGGGTACACAGCCCTGCGGGGAGATATAAGCATCTTCCTAAGTGCGGGAGTACAGCCAGATCTTTAGCAATTGAAGGCATCCCGCTGATCCTACTTGTTAGTTTTCAATATTTATTTGAAAAGAAAATAAAGTGCTTCAAACCGTCATAGAAGTAATTTCTGTGACTTCTCACAAGTAAGGGCAGGATAGCTAATGAATAGCAGGGTACTCAATGTTCTCTTTCACATACAAAAATACAAGACGGGGGAAACCCGAACATCTTTACCCAAGCAGGCAGGGCTAGTGCTGTGACACTAAACAGGCGGCTACCAATGGCTCTATGAAAGGGCCAAGTCCCCCATACAGACCCCACTGGGGCCGTCCCACGTACGATCCACCTACTAGAACCTAACGGTTTAGCCGCGCCTATCTATTCGTGCCGTCGTATCATCCTTCCCCGTGCTGGCACATTGTCATTCGCTACGTGGTTAAGTTCAGCCTGGCTAAGCACTGCCTGTACGACCAAACCTTTGTTCTTTGACCACGCTACTGGCAGCGAGACAGCTGAGCCTCACCAATGAGATGTAAATGGCGCAGATGTGATGTGCGCGGGGTAGAGCCATGTGTCTGACATGCATAATGAATTCTGATAGTAAATGTCCTGTGGGGACATCCATTGTCAATGTAGCCAAAATCAGGTGATGCCTCGCCACTGCTGCTTACGTGGGCTCGACCAACAGATAACCTGATATCTGTCAGGTCCTATGTCTATGATTGAAGCAATCCCTGTTCTTTGTCTTCAAATACTGGGGCAATCGAAGTTGCCATGTTCAAGCACCAGTTTCCTGCTGTGGGAGGGAGAAAAAGAATCAGCCCCTGTTCTTCCACTTAAGCGCAGGCAGGTCTATCCCTTCCCCGAATTATCTCTGCCGCCCGCTCTGCAACGGCATACACCGTCGACATGGGGTTCGCTGCTGTCACAGTAGGGAACACACTAGCATCGACAACTCGCAAGTTACCAGTCCCATGAACCCGCAACTCGGTATCCACGACACCTCCCTTCTCCCGCGGGGCCATGATGGCCGTCCCACAGAAATGATGCGCCGCCACGACCGATGCCCTCAACGTCTCCTCTACGACACCCGGGTCCTTGAGACTCAGGGCTAGGGCCCGGTGCGGAGCCTAGAATCCCACTTAATTGGGAGCAGGTTGGGAGG